GAAGATGGCGCCTTGTTGCAGGTACATCGAAGACGAAGCTGGAGCTATGGCGCCACAGGTAAGTCTCCCTGGCCTCCGCCAACCATCGCTCTCTCTCTCTCTCTCCAACGCTACTTTAGCTCCTACTAGCGCCCAGTGCTGAAGACTACTGCTAACTCTACTACTACTCCTGCAGCGCTCCTCCAGAGTGCTGTTGCCGAATCCTGAAGACTACCTCCTGCCTCCTGCACGTGAAGTGCCTGGGAAGTTCCTATGAACTGCCTTGTGACTACCTGCAGCCTGCAGGGCAGGCCAGTCGTATATAGTGCTGGCCTGTCCAGGAGGCTGCTCTTGCCAATGCCAAAACGTGCCAGACCCTGGTGTTGAAATTCAAAGAAAGATTGTGTTGAAAACAGGCCCAAAATGGCCTGTGCTAAAACCCTGGTCTGGTGCCTAAGTTTCGGGGCAGGTCGATCTTATGAGGGCCTGAAAATGGCCCTCCGCTTCAGGCTGAAAAGACTCGGGGCCTGGAGAGCCCTTTTTAGGGTGAAACGACACAGGGTCTGTAGGCCCTTGTACTCGGCTTTCGGGCTGAAACGACACAGGGCCTGTAGGCCCTCGTTTTCAGGCTTTTAGGCTGAAACGAAACAGGCCCTACACCTATGGACCCCTAGTCTACCTGGTCAGGCCCTGCTGGGCCCGTGTGGTACTGAGTATGCCACCAATAGTGTGGATGCAGACGACTCCGTATGCAGGGTGGTCTGGAACAAGCTCATTCAGCTGAGGCACTTCGAGGGCTTGGGTTTGCTGGACCCCCACCTACAGATCATTGCGCTACAACTAAGACGTACTTGCTCAGGACAGTGGGAGGAGCTTGGCAACAGGTCACCTGGATTCACCTGGCATATTCACTTCAAGTGCCGGCAGATAAGGTGGACTAGTGCCTACTGAACGATAAGGCAACAGGCCACATCCGGAGAGAGATGGTGTGGTCAATAAAACTGGTGTTGCATAAGGAGGTGCATATGCGTTGCTTCCTACCGCCAACCACGGATGCAGCCTACAACCAGCTGCTGTTCGGGAACAGGTTCATCTGCGATGCTGTCGGCGACCCCTTACCCTCGCATAGCCCACGAGGAGCATACGGCTGGAAGTGGGCTGAGCAAGGGATCTGTAAGGTGGGACATCTATGGGATGAGGACCATAAGGAATGGAAACGGACTAGTAAGTTGATGGACTCCCTGCACGGCTGCATGAAGAGGCAGCGGAGGGCGGAGGAACTTAGGGAGGCCATCCCCCTCAGATGGATGGACATGCTGATCTGAAAAAGCATAGCATTACTCCGGGAAAATGGGTTAAAATGAAGGATGAAAAGAGGCCGCAGAGGGTATACAAGGTATAGCAGATTTTGGAAGAAGGGAGGTTGCAGGTCACAAGCTGGCAAGTGAACACTGGATACAAGGGATTGGGGGACCCTCTGCGGGAGGCTGATGCAGCGGAAGGGACTCCTTGTAAAAGGATACACAGGGACACGGTTGAGGGCGGAGGTTTCATTGGCGGTAATGCGCTGCGCTTTACACAAGCCCGGTAACTTGCGGCACTAGAGGAGGCCACATCACAGGTTGATGTTGCACTGAATTTGACACGTGGCAATTTGTCACGTGTTTTGCATACGATTTCCATAGTCGCCACCTTACTTACCGGGTGGCCTTTGACTCTTGTGGCTATGACGTGAAGACGCTGTGTCTGCTATAGCTGGTGGAAATTAGCGGAGAATGCCTTGAGTGATCCGAAGTGTGGAAGGTGTGGAAAATCCAACACCCGAAGAGTAATCATAATCAAGCATTTGCGGAACACGGAGGAGAGAGAGCAGTATTTCAACTACAGAGAGGTCAACAACACCTTAAGAAAGGAGGTGTGATAGATTAGTTTTGGTCTCGCGTCCAAGTGGATCGAGGTTGCGCTGCTGTTTCGCATCACATAGACAGACGGGAATCACGGTGGTATGGATCGTGGTCGTTACTGAGAGGAGCCACGTGGGCGCTGCTTGGCGTTGATTGTGACTCACGTGAAGACGAACAAAAGTTTCTATTAGCAAGTTGAGAAATGTCGAGGATCGCCGTCGAGCACGGCTACTGCTCTTCACGATTGGCAGTTGGGCGCTGATCGGGTGTGACATTGAGGGGAGTCACATCGGCATTGCTTGGCGCTGATCGTGGAGCAAGGTTGCTGTGGTGTATGAGATGTGCTCATCATCGGGCAATCAGGAGAAGTTTAAGTCATATTCCATCTGCAAGTTGTGAAATGGTGAGGATTGTCGTCGTCTAATACTGAGGCTCATCACGATTGGAAGATAAAGAGCCACGCTGGCGTGGCTCGTGTGCGACATTGATGGGAACCACGTTGGCGTTGCTTGGTGTCGAGATGGCGACATTGAAGGGAGCCTCGTCGGCAATGGTTGGAGTCTTTATCATCGGGTGATCAGTAGAAACATTGGGCGATCAGTACAAGTTTAGTTCCTATTACATCAGCAAGTGGTGATATGTTGAGGATCGTCTTCGTAGTCATAGGCGGGAGCCATGTCGGCTTTGTCTATTCCATTAGCAAGTGTTGATGTGTTGAGGATCATAGTCGTCGACATTGTCGGGAGCCAGGGCGGCGCTGCTTGGAGCTCAGTGGGCGACATTGAAGGGAGTCAAAGCTGAGTGGGCGACATTGAAGGGAGCCACGTAGGCGCTGACTGGTGTTGATCGTAAGCGTTCCTCTTCATCTGGTGATCAGTAGAAGTATGGAATGCAGAGGAGCGTCGTCGTGTGCTGCTGCTGCTCATCACGATTGACAGATGGGAGCTACGTTGGCGCTGATCGTCGTCGACATTATCGGGAGCCACGTCGACGCTGCTTGGTGCTGTGTGGGCGTCATCGAAGGAAGCTACGTCGGCGTTGTCTGGCGTTGATTGCAAGCGGTTCTCTTCATTTGGCGATTTGCAGAAGTATTGGATAATATGCAGAAGTTTAGTTCCTATCCCATCAGCAAGTAGTGGATGCAGACGATTGTCGTCATGTGCTGCAGCCGTTCATCACGACTGGCAGATGGGAGCCACATTGGCGTTGTTCGTGAGCGGCATTGTGGGGAGCCACGTCGGCGCTGCTTGGCGTTGAGTGGGCGACATTGAAGGTAACCACGTCCGCATTGCTTGGCGCTGACCGTAAGTCACGATTGGCAGGTGGGGTCCACGTAGGCGCTGATCGTGTGCGACATTCGGGGGAGCGATGTCAGCGCTGCTTGGTGACGAGTGTAAACACTGATCATAGAGGACATTACGTTGAGAACGGAGGTGAGATAGAGCGAGAGGAGCGCTCCACGTATGAGGTGAGATAATCTCGAATAGAGGAATGTGCATCATGCACGGAGGAGAGAATTCCTTATTTAAAAAAAAAGCAGGAGGAAATTGTACACGTATGAGGATGTTTAGTCAGGAAGGACCTACAAACGATGAAGAGTGGCTCAACTCCTGCATAGATGTGAGCGCTTCATGATTTAGGAGTGTGATTCACTGTCTGCCTCAAAGTACATTGTGTTGATCACGAGCGATCTAACACCGCGTTTTGGTATTAGGAGTGTGATTCACTATCTGCCTCGAAGTGCTTTGTGTTGATCGTGAGCGATCTAACACCTTGGCGATCCAATATGACATAGTCGGGGTGCGGAATTAGGAAAGCGACTACGGAAGGAGGGGAAGCGAATCGACATTTGCTGAGTGATTGTAACATAG